TTCTAAGGCATGTAATGAGGAAAGAGGGCTTGGAAAATCTGATACTCACAGGACAGATTGAAGGCAAGACGGACAAACGCATAACAAAACTTAGAGAGCTTCAATAAATGAATAACGGAACAGGGTTTAGGAGAATTAACAAATAGACAAAATTTATGAAGAGCAACAAGAGACAGAATATTGTGGAGAGTCAAGATCACCTAACGTCATGAGGGCGACAGGGCACGTTTCTGTAAACTGTATTTTGCCAGGATATCTTCTGTACAGTTTTGAATTCGGAGAATTTTCGTTCTCTTAAATTTTTTTATCCAGGTAGAGATTCTAGTTTCTCTGCATATCTGAGAGAATCCAGGATCGTAGCACACATAGTGAGCACCTAAACTGCATTTAAAACAAGAAATTATAAAAATACAATAGAAAAAATACCAGCAATACATTTTCATAGTAAAAAATAAAAATTTACCAGAAACTCATTATTGGAACAAAATAAAAATTACCAGAAATTTATTATACGAAAATTTTTTTTAAAATTACCAGAAATTCACTATTGGAATTTTTTTTTTAAATTACAAGTAATTCATTATTGGAAAACATTTCATGCCTTTCTAGAGGACATTAGTGCGAAGTTATTAGAAAATGTGTCTGCCAGATTTTGAACTTGGCTCGCCGATTTCTGTACTGTCTAATTTAATTTACATTATTTACAATGTTGGGATTGTTATCCCCATCTTTGTTGCCATAGTCACAACGTTTCGGTCATTTTACGCTCCGGCTTTCTTCAGGTGATATTAATTGGAATTTCGAACCGAACCTTTTATTTTGTCCACCGGGGTAGTTCTATACGGTAATAAAGAGGAGGATAACAGTCCGAACATTATAAATAGAGTAAATAACTACAATTGCTCGTCTCAAAATGTAGACAAATGTCTAAGGTTAGTTTGCACCCACCTCTACTAAAACGAAATTTGCAACAAAAACTGCACTGTATGATGAATATGTAAGAGATTTATTTTAACTCCTAATTTTCCCATAATACAAGGCTCGAGAGACACTCAAGGTAGCAGATTACTGAATGAACTGTGTAATATGAATCTAAGAGATGTGAAGGAAGTAGAGATTATGAATATAAGAAGGATAGATAAAACTGACTGATGATTTCAATAGGTTAAGATTGAAGCGTTTTGGGAAGCATTCACGCGGGAGTCTCTTGCACAGATCAGCAGCTCTTGTTAAAAGGTTGTCTGTTGAAATACGGGAGAAATGATAGTGATTCGACTCCGTCGTGTGAACATGACGCGTCCAAGTTGTAAAAATCTGAGCTAATGAAACTCAAGAATGGATATTTGGCATAGAAATGAAGATACCTTGCGGTATTTGCGTCTGTGGGAAAAGAGGCTGTAGAGTGGGAAATAATGAACTTGCAAAAGACCCCCTAAAAGATTTAAAGTTTTGTTAAGGAAGGAAAGCAAGGATTGAGCAGCTCTATCCTAGGCCTGGAAGCAGTATTCCATTTTTGGCCAAATCTGTCTAAAGGATTCCGGTACATACGGAATCGATAAAATGATCATTTTCTTTTCTAGCTTCTTTAACAATGTATTATATAGAAAAGTTCTACTTGAGGTCTAGAGGCTTACGGACCTATCACATTGAAACACCGGTTCTCGAACGCTCCCTCAAGGTTAAGCAACGTTAAGCATGGTTATTAACTAGATGGGTGACCGCTTAGGAATACCAGGTGCTGTAAGTCTGGATATGCGGACGGTGTAATGGCTCAGAATTGTTAATCAGAGAGCCGAGTTCCAATTCCAGTTAGATTCGTAATATTCACTTCTGCATAAATACCCTTGAGAAAAATATGAATTCACCTCTTCTCCCCCCGCCCCAGATTTGGATTAATTAGTAAGACTTGTATCAGTAAATCATTATTATCTTCAAAGAAAAAAAAAAACTGCAATCTGAAACTATTTTCAGTCTTTAGATAACCAGCAAAGGGTTGATAAACTGTAAAAAACAAATGAGGTCAGGAATGAGCTTAAGACTCCCTAGACATTCAGAGCATGGAGAATCATTAGAGAAAATCCAAAAGATTTGAAATCGATCAAGAATGAAACAAACAAGCCAGAAATATTGTCTGTTGTCTGCGTTTTACCGCAAAATGATTGAAAAAGTTTATTACCCACAAAGGATTTTTTTCTATTTAAACCGGTTTTCAGGCGTGACATTAACTGTTGGCTATTACCTGTAATTAGATAATTCATTTTTTGTTATGTCTGTTTGTTACATTCTAGAAGCATTTGCTCGTAACACATGCATTATTGAAAGCTATTTTATTCGAAAAGATTTAGGTTTAGCGTCTTAAAAAAGTTACTAAAACGATTTGGTACGAAATGATATTCTTCACCTGGTGTTTTAATCATTTTCTAAAAAAAAAAAAAAACCGTTGAGCGCATGCGTTGAATTTGCCAATTACTTTACTATTACTTCTTCCATTATCATTTTTCATCTTTCTTCCGTATTATTTAGCTGATATTATTTTTCATATGATGGAAATGAATTGAGCCTAATGGAAAGAGGAATAGGAAATCCAGAAGAATTGACAAAATAAGAGAAAGAGAGAGAAGAGAGAGAGGGGAGAGAGGGGGAGAAAGAGGGGGGAGAAAAGCGGTAAAGTGAGAAAGAGGGGAGAGAGAGCACGATATTTCACAAGTTTCTTCCGCGAACAGACAAATTCAATAGGAGAGTCAATTCGACCAACACAACTAGAGTCGTCTTGTGCCGGGCGAGGCTAATATTTTTCAAAATTTTAGAGAGACCATCGACTAGCACGTCTTGAGATCATTGCAAGTACGGTGGTTTGGTTTATTTATTTAATGGTATATCAATTCCTTAGGGGTCATTTAATGCCGATTTTTTTTTCTTGTGAGCTTTTTTTTCTTTATTTTCTTTTTTTCAAAAAATGTATTTTTTTTCTTCTAATAATGAATTTCTGGTATTTTTTTAATTTTGTTCCATAATGAGTTTCTGGTAATTTTTTATTTTTTACTATGAAAATGTATTGCTGGTATTTTTTTCGATTGTATTTTCATAATTTCTTGTTTTAAACCCATCATAAAATGTATGTATATATATGTATATGTATATATATATATATATATATATATATATATATATATATATATATATATATATGTTTGCCACCACTACAAAATATATTGTTGGTAATTTTATTATAAAAATGTATATTCATATTTTTTAGTGTTGCATTTATTGTCATTTTGATATAAAATTTATTGTTGGTCGTTTTAATTTAAAAAAATATATTGCTGATTTTTGTTTGGGGGTTCACTATTTACCCATAGCTGGAACCCTAACAGGTGCTACAACCCCAGGTCAGGGTGTACCTGAAAATAACACAATGAAAAGGTGGTTTCACGCTCTTTAAAACCTCCCGATTAGAGGCCTTGCACCCGGCTGTAGTTTATTATCATACCCAGGACGGCAAGCATAGCGAATTGGCTTCTCACCGTGTTTTTCATACACATAACCTTTTTTTAAAACATTTAGGTTCATGGACTATACCATTCTTTGATGTTGGGACGCTTTGATTTTTAAAAGAACATTTTGAAAATCATTACCCTAGTAATGAGTTTGATTTTCACTGGGCGCCTTATAGAGTTCTTTCTATTCAACTGAGCTAGCCTATTACAGACCATTATTAATTAAATTAATTTAATCTTTAAGTTGTGGCCTCATGGCAGACTAAGCTAAGCTTACTATATACTAATAAAATAATTACCTATTTCTTTTTTTTATATGTGAGAGAGACTGTTTGTTTGATCGCAGATAACAAGTCAATATTTGCAATACTTCTTTTCGAGGAAGGATCGGCATCCTCACATCCCTTGTCGAACACTATACGTCCTTGCATGGTACTAAGTTAAATTTAGTATACCACGAAATGTTGTAAAAGTTTAATAAAAAATTCAGTCAGTTAGCGAAACGTTGGAAATTTGTACAAGAATATTCTTTTATGTGCTGTGTCCCTGGGTATGACGATGGACTACACCCGGCAGCAAGACTTCTGATCGTGAGGTTTTGAGGAGTGTGGAACCACCTCTTAATTGCTATTGTTCCCACATCTACCCTGACCTATGGTGGTAGCATCTGTTATGAACCAAGCTATGGACACATACTGCACTCCCAAACTGGGGTCGAAACATGAAAGTATCAAAATATATTAGAAAAAAGTATCGGTAATACATTTTCGTAGTAAAAAAATACCAGCAGTACATTTTTGAAAAAAAAAACAAAAAACAAAAAAGATTACCAAAGCTCACAAGAAAATAAAATTTCAGCATTAAATGACCCATAAGGAGTTGATCTGCCGTTAAACAGACAAACCAAGTCAAACCAAACGTTCATGGCTCTCCACACCTTCCTTTTAGCAACATTTATCTTTTTAATATTCCTCCCGGATTTTGGAGTCACATTACACATCGTTTGGTGAAACACATTGCAGATAGTTCAATTTCTGTACATACTTTATTTTGATCTCTCTAATTCGTATCTTGCATCTTGGGCGATTGAAATGTTAGGTAACTCAAATAAAAACTTGCTAAATTGTAACCTAGCTAGCTAGCTAGCTCGCTCGCTCGCTTCATAGATAGATAGATAGATAGATCAGAAGAGAATGAGATAGATCTGAAAAAATGAGATAGATAAATAAAAAGTTAAAAAGATTGATAGACAGACAGATACACAGACATATATATGTGTGTGTGTGTGTGTGTGTGTGTGTGTGTGTGTGTGTGTTTGAAAAGAATAAAATAGATATGAAAATGATATAGATAGATATTAATGAAGAGGCTAAAGTAGATAGATCTGAAGAGTATGAGCTATATAAATAAAAAAAATATTGATAGACAGATAAATATGAAAAGAATTAGATAGATAGATAGATAGAAAGAGAATGAGATATATAAAAAGATTGATAAACAGACAGGTAGAGAGATAGATAGATAGATCGATCTATCGATAGATAGATAGATAGATAGATAGATAGATAGATAGATAGATATAAAGAGAATGAGATATATAAAAAGATTGATAAACAGACAGGCAGAGAGATAGATAGATAGATCGATATATAGATATAAAGAGAATGAGATATATAAAAAGATTGATAAACAGATAGATAGATAGATAGATAGATAGATTTTTTGGTGGGGGCGGTGGTATAAACGATTTTCTGATACAAGTACTGCTATTTAAATCCTAGCTGGGGTGGATTCATAACATTTCCAAGGATATTTGGACGTAAATGAATATAACGAACCAAACTGGAATTGGAACACAATTCCGAATTGTTATCTATTACACACTCATTTAAGCTTACAGTATCTGGTATTCCTATGTTGTCACCCATCCAGGTACTGACCAGGTTTGACGTTGCTTAACTTCGGTGATCGGACTAGAACCATACGCTAAAAGTAGTGGCGAAGAAAAAAGGAAAGAAGACAATCTTTGGTAATAAAAAAAATTAAGACAGAAATATAAAATGAGATGAAAAGAAATTATGGGTGTGTCTGTATATATGGGTAGGTCAGTATATCTGAAGACATATTGATTCACCTAAATTAGTTCAATTTTGATTTGAACATTTGACTGGAAAAGTGATTAATACTCACACATGAATTACGTCCATTGACAAGGAAAGTATCATGTTGGAAATTAAAAAAAAATTGTTTCGTAAAATAATTTTTTTTTTTTAGACTACATATGTATTGATCTCTCTGCTAGGGGTACAAATCATTTGACTTAAAGATGATCTTAAAAAAAAAAAATCTGAGATTTAGTTGGATCAGATCAAACCCAAATGTTTTCAACACCATCATATACGTGTGCATTCACGGAATGTACGCGTGTCTATGATGACTTCACAAGAAAAAAAAATCCAGGCCGGTAGACGAAAAGTATACAGCTAAAATGAAAGCGAAAATAAATAAGAAAAATGCAAAAACAAAAACAGAGATGTCCATTTAAACACATGTATCCATTAAATATAGCGGGCACACACACACACACATATATATATATTATTATTAAAAGGCACGGACTCTTAAAATTTCATGAGGTTATATTTATTTTATTAGGGTCGTAAAAACAGCCCCAATTCATCAGACCTTCAAATTTAAAAGGAAACAGAAAATATTTTTCCAAGTTTAAATGACAAAATTTATGTAAAAGTGTATACGTGAAAGTGGGGGAAAAGTTAAAAAGAAAGACGCGTAAGTAAGATTGAGAGAGAGGTGGAAAGAAAGACATAAGGGGCCATTTTTACGACCCTAATGAAATAAATATAACCTCATGAAAATTTAAGAGTTCATGCCTCATTAAAATAACTATTGCTCTGTCATAGAAATTTTCTTGGATTTATATCTTTTGGAAATATTCATACTGATCAATAATACCATCACTATATATATATATATATATATATATATATATATATATATATATATATATATATATATATATATATATATATATATATATATATATGCGTAAAAAGTTCAGAGTATATCTATGAAAAAATTCACACACACACGTATATATATCTATTATGTGATGGACTAAGTCCGACAATTATTTTAATATATTTTCTGTTTATACGTTATTTTTATAGATACAAATATTTAAGCAAATGTTCTGTTTATAATAAACAGTATTAACAACATTTACCGACCTGAATTTCTGAGAAATTTCATAGAAAATATGTGTATTCCGACAGGAATCGAACCTGTATACTACACAGAAATCGTCATATAGACTGACGTGCTATACCATTTAGCTACAGAGGAAGCGTCTGGTTATTTCGAGGGGAATCATGGGAAATTTTCAGTTTAAAAACAGTAATTTGACACACACACACACACACACACACACACACATATATATATATATATATATATATATATATATATATAATATATATTATATATATATATATATATATATATATATATATATATATATATTCAAATTTTAGATTCCCAGCATACCTCTTTCGTGCGCATGTGTAGTCGCACCAACATAACAAATTTAATCCTAAAGGACGAAACACGTCACACGAAAACTTTTCCACTTTGTCATTCATTTTTCCCGAATATATCGGATTATAAATTTGTGTATCTATCTGTGCCTATACAGTTGTGTGCGTATGTGTGAAAGGGAGAGTGTGTGAGTATCAAAGAAAGAAAAAAAGACTGCAGAAACGGAGAAGGTGGAGGAAAGAGCCTGTGAAGAGATCAATGTAAGAAAAGTATAAAGACGAGAAAGATAGAAAAAAAGAGGACAAAAAAAAAGAGAAAGAGAGGAAGAGAAAGAAAATAAAGCATCTCTGTGTATAAAAAAGGGGAAAAGGAAAACATACAATCAAAATGAAGAAGAAATAATAAAAGCGATCGAGTCAGGGTGGAAGCTAAAAATGACGAAAAGACACCGGGAAAGATAAAATGAAGAGAAGACAAGGAAAGGGAGAAAAAAAAAAAGAGAACGAAAAGAAAAGATGTTAGGAAGAAAGAGAGAAAAGAAAAAACGATAAAAGGAAAGGGGGAAAAAGAAAACAGAAAGAGGGAAAATAAAAATAGAATATGGAGGCAGGAGAAGGAATGAGGAAAGAAAATATCAACAAAATATTGAAAGAAAAAGAAAGAAAGAAAAAAGAAACAAAAAGATAGACAAAAAAGAAAGTAAAACAAAGAAATAAAGAAAGAAAACAAAAGAAAGGTAGAAAAAGAAATAAAGAAAAAAGAAGGAGAGAAAGAAAAAGAAAGAAAAATGCCAATGAAAATTTGGGAAAGAAAGGAAAAAAAACGAAAAACTGAAAAACGTGGAAATCGAGATAAAATATAAAAAAGAAAAAGGTATGAAAAGGAAAGGGGAGCAGGAACATTGTATATGGAATGAAAGAAAGAGAAAGAGGGGAAGAGAGAATGAGAAAATAAGTTGAGTATAAAGGAAGGGAGTGAATAAAAGCAAAAGAAAATGCATTGAAAGAAAGAGCATGAAAAGAAAAGTGTATAGGGATGTATTAAAAGAGGGTGAATAATGATTAGAGAAATTAAAGTATGGGGAGAGAGAATGAAAGAAAGAGAAAAAGAAACAGAGAGAGGAGAAAGAGGAAGTAAAATAGATGATATCGTGTACATCAGGGGAAAATGTCTCCATCTTGAAAAATACCATGGGGTACAAAGCATACCTCAAAGGAACATTTCAAACCGCTCATGGCCTCGGGCGCCATCTATCGGTGACATTTAGAAGCAGCGTTTTCAGCCTCTTCTTTCGCTAGTCTCTAAATACGGACTATTCAGAAAAATATTAGATGTTTCACAAATTTTATTTACAAAGTCATCGTCTTGCTTTGGTTAAGAACTTTTTGTTGAATCTTTCTCCTCTATTTGCATTTATTATTATTATTATTATTATTATTATTATTATTATTATTATTATTATTATGTCTGTGCAATTTTCTTTTGATCATATCGCTAATTACCTTTCCTTGTCTTTTTTGAATTTCTGCAAGACATTGCAATTTCTCCATAGTTTCTCCTTCCCATTTCCCCAACATATGTAAATAAATCTTCTTCTTTATATAGTGTTTTTTTCGGGAGGTAGGCGATCATGGCTCTCCACAACTTCCTGTCCTTTGTAGCTCTAAGCAAGGTTTGCTTCTTTATTGTCACTCCCACTCCCTGTTCTGCACCTATATGCACAAGTTTTTTTAGGCAGGTTACTCGCTGTTTCCCCCTCCCTCTTGTCTTTACTATGTATTGTGAGTGTCATATTCTTCAAGTCTTCTTTTCTCATTACGTGTTCCAAAATGTCAGTTATCTCTTTTTGATTTTAAATGTCCTTTTTGTTTCCAATTTCCTTAAAACTTCGTTCCTCACAGGCTTTATCTCGTCCCAGGTAATACTATAAACTACGTCCAACAGCAAGGCCTTTGATCAGGAGGTTTTGAGAAGCGTGGAACCACCTCTTAATTGCTGGTGTTCCCAGATTTACCCTGACCCGGGTTAGTAGCACCTGTTAGGGCTCCAGCTATGGGCAAATAGTTAACCCACAAACTGGGGGTCAAAACACTATGAAAGTGTAAAAATAGGTTTTAATACCAAAAATACTTTGTAAAAAATTATTACCATCAATACATTTTTGAAGAAAAAATTATTACCAACAATACATTTTTGAAGAAAAAATTGCCAGCTATATATTTTTCCCAGAAATAGATTTTTGAATGAAAAAAATATTACCAGCAACACAGTATTACCAACAATAAAAGTAAATAAGCCATTGAGATTGATAGGCCATAAACCAACCCAACCCAAACCAAAACAAAACAAACCAAACCCAACCCAACCCAAAACAAAACAAACCAAACCAAACCCAAACCAAAACAAACCAAACCAAACCCAACCCAACCCAAACCAAACCAAACCAAACCAAACCAAACCAAACCAAACCCAAAACCAAAACAAACAAACCAAACCAAACCCAACCCAAAAACCAACCAAAACAAACCAAACCCAACCCAACCCAAAAACTAACCCAACCCAACCCAAAACAAACCAAAACAAACCAAACCCAACCCAACCCAACCCAAAAAAAAACCAAACCAAACCCAACCCAAACCAAACCAAACCCAACCCAACCCAACCCAACCCATGGCTTTATCTATCCTATCTAAAATCCCCCATTTTATTTGTAAGGAACTTGTTCAGCATTCACTGCAATATGGGAAGATTGATATGACATGGTAATTCAGCACTCTTTTCTTTGTTTCCATATATCTCTCTTTTTTAACATTTCGTCTAGGTTTTGGGAAGCCTCATTTATTATTCCCATGTGTCTTCAAATTTCTGTATAACATTTCCAGAAAGAGAAAAACATTATATATTTAAATTATTTATTTATTATTATTTAAATCATTTACTTAGTATTCGGATAATATTTTAAATTTTCAAAACATAAATAAATACACCCTCACGCACGCACTTGCACATGCGATATTAATGAATTAGTCTGAAAGGCATTCCCTTCCTATTGCTTGTTTCCTTGATAGCTATAATCTCCAACTATTCAAATGTAATGTCTGTCGACATCTCCAGACGCCTTGATCTATTCCCTGTCCTTCTCTTCATCCTTTCCTCTATCACGCCTCCTAACTGTCACTCCCATTCTCTGTAATCCCTTGAGTGCTAGTGGCATACCGCCTTGCTTGGGGTGAAATACTTAAAAAAAAAAATGGCGCATGGCTACCGTCTGTCTGCCAGTTAAATCCCAGACGTGATGAACGCTTGGGTGATCATGCTTCTTTTGATCCATGATTGATTAGGCAGAAGATTTTCCCGAAGTAGGCTGCTGTTTTTTTCTGCTGTAGACTGGTTTCCAACCAAGGCTATAGGATCAAGTGTGTCGAGCTATTCAACTCATAGCTGGAATGGAAGTGAGAAGAGATGGATTCATGCCTTTTCTAAGGTTATTTGTACGTAAGTGAATATAACGAACCCGATTGGAATTGGAACTCGGCTATTCGATTTTTCATTCTGAGCCGTTATCCATTACACATCCTCGTATATAGGTAATCGAATTTCCATCGAGTGTCGACCGTAGCGCAACTCTTACCAGACACAATTTGAAGGTCAAATGACTAAAATCATAAGCCAACACGATCTGAATATCTAACTATATATTAAGACCTTGTGCTCCATTAAAATACGTTCTTGCGTTGAAGCTTTTCCTTCGTAAGATAACTTCGAATCCGGTCCTACGCGGAATTTCCCTACCTGGTGTTACGACCTCGGTCTGGTTCTCCGCCTATACTGACGACGTTTCGTTTCTTGTGTTGAGCAGAGCTAAGATTGACGAAGTCGGCAAAGAAATCAGAGGGTACGAGACGGTGACAAGGATCAAGATCAACCGCGATAAGTCTGTTGGCTTGCGGTTGGGTTCGTGGGAGGGAATTTTCCTTCCTGGACCTTTCCCCTGGACGGACGGGCTGGTCATGTTACTCGGCTTCTTGTTCGATCCTGATCTCCTCTTGAAAATGATTTGATCGAAATTGCAAGTGAAGGCCGAGGTTGCGTTTCGTCTGTGGTCCCGGAGGAATATTTCCTTAAACAGGGCCGGTGCAGAGTATGTGCCTCGCTTAAAGTCAAGATTAGGACGGAAAGGCGGTGGCTCCCTCTATCAGAATTTGGCGAAAGGTGGGTGAGTCTTGCGCATCTGTGTCGAGTAAGAGGATCCGATTTAAAGTGGCACTTGGACGTCGGTTAGGCACGAAATTATTCTAACTGGATTGGACATTGGTAACCCCGCCCGAAATTAGATTAGTTTAAATTTGTTTCTGTCTTAAGTTTATTCATTCAACGTTAAATTAGCTAGGGGATGTAAGGTCATTAATCTCTTTTTATTTCTGTTCCAGCTTTCTTTAGTTTAATTTCCCCTCCTCCTTTAGGCGAACAGAGATGTCAGTTCTCTGGTGGATGCGGGACGCCTTTTGTATTTTGCGTGTGATTTTCGTATTTTAATGTTTGAAGGAGTGTGTGTTTGAGTGAGTGCTTGGGCGAATGAGGGTTTTTAAAGATGGGTAATCGAATTTCCATCGAGTGTCTACCGTAGCGCAACTTTTACCAGACACAATTTGAAGATCAAATGACTAAAATCATGAGTCAACTCGATCTGAATACCTAACTATATATTAAGACCTTGTGCTCCATTAAAATACGTTCTTGCGTTGAAGCTTTTCCTTCGCAAGGAAGGAAAGATATTGGAAAGATGTTTGGCTTATTCTATCGCTCCAGGAAGTAGTTGACTCCTTCTGCTATATTCTATTTTTACAAGATTCAGATTTTATCAAAATTAAAGTTTTGTTGCACAACACTCACTTTCCATGCATCAGTTTCGCCCAGTTAACTGATGTTTCTTCCACATTTAAGCATTGAGGATTTAGATTTTTAAATTGTGGTTTTATTCCCACCCCAGACAAGAATTGTACATATAGGGACTAATAAGGACTTCATGGAGATTTTGAGGTATTATGGTGGCTGTAGTAAGAATAGTGAGTAAGAATGTGTTATTTTGGTGTAAGGAATATTGTGATATGTTTGGGCCAGAGATTGTGGCTCGCTAAGTTTAATAAGACAGAAGACCATTCTTTTCCCATATCAACTTTTGGCCTTGTGCCACATTTTTGTATTTATTACGGAATAAATATAGCTCTTCGCTATGGTACCAAGACTTTTTGAATTTAATCGCAGTACTAGACAGGCGTCGAGATCTCATCAATTTACTGACTAGATATAGCCGTAAATTCTATGCTAACAGTTACTTTTCTCGCACTTCTTGCTTGTGGAACTCCCTTCCGACTCCATGCTTTCCGGCCAACTTTAATTTGCAAAAATCTACATGTAATGTCAATCGATATCTACTGTACTCCTGGTTACTCCTTCCTCTTCCCGTTCATTATTAATGTTCCTGTTTCCAATTCTTCCACATCCTGTGACCCCCCCTTGTGTCTTCGTGGCTTTACTGCCTTGCAGGGGAGTGATACTGATTAAAAAGAAAATATATTGAAAAGATGTTTGGCTCATTCTATCGCTCCAGGAAGTAGTTGACTTCTGCTATATTCTATTTTTACAAGATTCAGATTTTATCTAAATTAAAGTTTTGCTGTCATATCCGGGTCGGAGTTGCACAACACTCACTTTCCATTCTTGATAGAGATCAAGATCGCTTACGTTGTTTTGTTGACAAAGGCTTTCTCTTTATTTTTCAGTTTTTTTCCCCTCAGGCGCCACATCGTAAGACTATTGCTACTCTATCGCTATTCCTATAGCAAATGTTCAGATGAACTCGCCATTCTTTAGTTCCACCAGTTGAGAACTTTATATCGGACACACGCTATGCTACTTATACGGAGTCGAACCATCCTTATTTCCTCTATATGAAAAATTTAAGGAGAAGCTTCCAGATTCCAACATGAACGCTACCCTGAACATTATAGTTTTAACCCTTAAGGTAATCGTTCTATTTACTCCTCAATCTCATAAGTTTGAATTCCTACCATTCCTACTCTGTAACTTGTGTAGACTCTGTAAAACTCTACCTTGAGTGGCTCTTGGGACTTGTTCAGGGTGAACATCAGTTAAAC